CCAGCATCTGCAGTTCCTGCTATCTCTAAGGAATGATGGAATACCCTGAAAGCACAGCCGGGACAAGACCATCATGTTGGGTAGAGACTGCCACATTGGGCCGCTGGAAGCCACCTTGTCACTGGGCTGGGACAAGCCTCCTGTTCCCCATCTGCTGTCAGTCCCTTCTGCTCCTTCAGGCGTAACTGTGGACCTGCGGCGTCGGTCTAGCCTTTGGGTCCAGGTCGGGGGACTCAGCCTGGAACCTGCTCCTCGCTCGCCAGGAGACCCTGGGCTGGGGTGGAGCCATGTCCTGTTGTTGCTGCTTCCGGCAGCTTCCTCCTTCTCCCACCACTCCCCAGGCTTAAAAGAAAAGGAAGTGAAAGGAAAAACAACAAAAGAAGAACAAAAAAAAGTAGACGAGCCCCGAGCTCAGCCCCTTACTCTGCCTCCATCTTCCAAAGTGGTCTGTTTCCAGAAAAAAGTTGGTTAGAGTTAGTCTGACATCTCTCTCCTCCCACATACAGAAAATAAGACGTTTCTTCTTTATTATCTTTAATTTCAAGGCCACTTATTCTTCAAGTTTTTAGTTCGATGATACATGCAACATATCGCCAGTACTGGAAACCTGAAACAAAAGCACAGAGCGCTGGAAAACTGCAACAGGTCTGGCAGCATCTGTAGGTAAACAATTAACATTTTATCCAAACCAAACAGACTCTGTTTGTCCAGAGATCCTGCCAGACCTGTTGCGTTTTACTTTTTTTTTGGTTCCATTCTCTTAAAAATGCTGTGCCATTTTATGCCCAAAGAGATCTTTTATTTGTTTCTGTATGATATTAGCTTTATGCTTTTTCATACATTCTTGATTTGTAACTTCTCATTTTGTTTGTGCAAAGACTGATAGACTTTTATTTCTAGACCAATCAGAAATCGTCGGTTTTCTTTTCTCCTTGCTGTGCTAAACCAAGTCACTGCACTCAATGTTCAACACACATTAATCTATGTTTGATATTCCTGTTTTGTGTTTCATTCTTGTTATTTTTGGACTACATTATGTTCTTGTGCTTTCTTCTAAGAGACTTTCAGGTACTCTTGGTACACATTCTTATTTGATGAACATTGACCTAAAAGAACGTAATATGCTCGTTCTTTGCAAGTATTTCTTCTGACTAACTCATAACACATCACAGAATATTTTTAAATGTTTGACAGTGCTATCGTCACGTATACCTATTGTCATAATTCATATGTTTTAGAATATAGCCTCTTTATTTAAAAATTATAACAATAGAAAATAGGGGTAAGCTGCTTGAAAACTGCCAAAAGCTGAAGTAAATGAAATTCAAATAAACTTGGAGTTAATTAGAGAGTTGGGGCTGTTGTTGACATAAGAGTTCAACAGCTTAAATAGTAGGTGGGCTTACTTAGCTAAAGAGCTGGAGACATGATGAATGCAATTCTTCAAGTAAAGGATACGTTATTTATGTGATTTTGCAGAATTAAAGGTTTAGGAATTAAAAAGGTAGTTAATTTGCATTTTTATCTGGGAACATGCTGTGCCTCTAACATTGCCATGGATATGGATGCGGATTAGTGAGATTCTGTTTTGAGTTTATCTTTGTGAATTCAGTTGAGGCGTAGCCAGCAGGCAAGACTGGTTGATTTTGAAAAACAACTAAGACATTCTGAGATAACAAGGTGTAGAGCTGGATGAACACAGCAGGCCAAGCAGCATCAGAAGGGTCTAGGCCCGAAACGTCAGCCTTCCTGCTCCTCTGATGCTGCTTGGCCTGCTGTGTTCATCCAACTCTACACCTTGTTATCTCAGATTTTCCAGCATCTGCAGTTCCTACTATCTCTAAGACATTCTGAGGTTTAGGTTTTAAGTAGTTGTAACTCTTTGGAAGCTGAAAGAGGAATCCAAACCCACGCATTAAGTAAATGCTAGAACTATCATCCATGATGCAGCCTCTGAATGGGAGCTGGTATTCAGTACAAGACAAAAGTGAAAAGCGGGAAGAAAACTGGAAGATTTCTAGAAAGAACTCGACAGTGATTCACTATAAAAGACAGTTAACTCTACCGCAGTTGGAATTTTGGAAATAATCAGTTTGGCTGCAGTTAAAAATCATAGCAATGAGCTATTGGAAACTGAGCATGTTTTAAGCCACTGTTGCAGGGAGGCCTGCATTGGGGCTGTGGAATACAGAGTTGAGAGTCTGATAAAGAAATTGGAAGGTCAATTAGCCAAAAGCTAATGGCCGGTCCCCCAAGTAATCTTGTACTTTGCAGCTTTGTTGGAACACTTGATAGAGAGAAATCAGAATGAGTTAAGGAGATGAGATTATTTTTCAGTTTGTCCCAGGAAAAGTGAATAAACCTTGAAGAATTCAGAAGGCAAGTGAACTCTTGGGAGAAGTTAAACATAAAACTGAGTTTATAGCATAAATCTTTGTAAACTACATTGCTAACTAATGCTGATTGCTCAGTTTAATTTTTTTAGGTGAGCAGTAAAATTATTTTTTGTTTCAAAATGTGAAATCTTGTGATGTTATTCTGTCAAATAATTGCTGGATCTCAAATTTCTTCTGCAAATGTTAACGGTCCCTGATATGACCATAACTACATTTGCATTGAAATCCTTCTATATATTGTTGGTCCCTTGTTAGCCTTTTCCTGAAAGATGCACAAGTTTGTTAATTAATTATAAAGCTAAATTTATGATGTTACCAATTCAACAGTACATCTGCTAAACAATGCCAAGTTACCATTAGACATTCAACGAGTCATAGTCTGGCAGTTGATCAGTTATTTAAGTTAACATATCTTCAAAGACATGATTTATTCATTTCTTTTGCTCTTCAAAGCTTGGAAAACTAATAGTTTGGTTCTATTGACTGAAGTTTCATGCTATTCTGTTGTCATAATGACACCAGCAAACGTAAACAGTTGATCCTCATGATCCGTAACACAATCAATTATATTCTTCATTTCTTGTGAGATGTGAGTTTATTCACCACTTTATATTGTACACAGAACTCCTAGTTGTCATCAATATACATGATGGGCTCAGTAAGTATGGAATTTAATTTTTTTCAAGTAGGCATTTAAACTTAGTTTTCATCAAAGGCAGTGGTATCATTATGATATCAAATCACAATGCCAGCAGTTTTCTTCAGCTCAGACACTCTTGCAGTAAGAATATATTTTTGCCAAACTGCTAAACAAGGAATTCAATTTGTTGGCAGCCAGATTACTGGTTTTGACAGTTACAATACCTTGCATTACTCATTGGAGCCACACATCTGCAATCACAGAGAGGTGTCCTTTGGTAGAGGCACCCGTGGGTTTAATGAATGCAAAAGCATGTATTGGTGATGTTAGTAATTTCTTTAATTCGTTGTCCTCATTTTCCAGATAGATCACATTAAAACACAGCCATTTAACAATAGCAGTTGAGTTATTCCATAAAACATATGCTGTTCTCACCAGTTGCCCAGTGTAGCTCTGAGCCCTATGGGGTGACAGGGACTGATAAATGTTGAGCATTGGCTGAAGGACCAAGGGGGGATGGGAAAGTCAGGACCTCAATCAGGACTCATTCAATTACATTTCAAGTCAACAAACCTTGATAGCAAAAATCCCTCCTGAATACTGCTCTGATTAATGTTGCTTGATGCCAAAATAATGTCATTAGACAATAATGAGTGGGTGTATATTACGTTGGCTATCAGCACTAGCTGTTGACCTTGGTGACTTCTACTTAAATGAGAAAACAAATATCCTGAAAGTACAGCTTAATGACGCTGTGCAAATACCTCATTGCTATTCAGCATTACTTCTTTTGTTTTGTTGTTAATTAAAATGTTGAGGTTATGTTGTTATTATGTTGATGTGGACTTAATGAAAAACACTTTACAGAAAATGGACAGTACTGTTACTTAATAACGAAGAGGCAGCAAAGTGACTAAATAGCATCACAATTGAGTTTTCAGCTCAAGTTGGTTTTCTTAATTTTCAAATCTATACAAGCAATTATGAAACTAAGGTGTTGTTACTCTTTAGCTATCAAGCTGAGTTAACCTGACATTGGTCAATTCTACATAAACTGCAGCGCACACAAAAACAAAACTCAACAATATAGAATCATTTCAAAATATGGAGACAATTCCAAGATATTTCTGACAAATACACAATTCTAATTCAGTCACCATACTTTGAATGGTTGATATACTTGAAGGATTACTTTGAAGCATACAATATTGGCTTGTTAAACAGAATCTGCTTGTGTACACTGCTTCCCACGTTCCAAAGGGAAAAAGGAGAAAATTGTGAAATTAAACTCATAGAGTTCGACAGCTACTAAGGCAACATTTGCCAAATACAATATAAGCCCAAATATTTTGCAACACAACTATATATTAATTTAATAAAATACACAATATAGCTCTTAGTACAACTAACAAGTTTGGCTCATATGCACTGATATTGCAATAAATCAATTAAAAAGCTAGATTCAGTGTAAACACTCGATGATTCTTACATTTGCACATCAATATGTTTTGCTTTGCTAGTACTTAATAGGTATTCCCCTTAACGAGTCATTTTAGTGTCCATCTACAAATATGGAACAGTACTTCTTCATCTGGGACACAATATATTTTACCATTGGACAATAATATGGTGACAACATTTTGATGACTAAAATGGAGAGGAGGAATTTAAACAACTGGACACTAAAATGTCACTCTTTGGTAGGACAGCTTAGAGAATAACCAGAATAACCATTTTGTAGTTCTTTTGTATTAGTTTTGAGAACATGGGGCAAATGTTGTGTTTGTAGAACACATTTTGGAGAAATTTTTAAAAGTGGTTTTATACAAAATATCAAGATGTGCATCATTGCATAATGATCCAGAGTGAAATATTCTATGTGATGACAATCAATGGTGCAATGATTACTGCAGATAAACCTAATTCATAAGGACACCTACATCAGCTGACAATAACTGTACACTCTGAATTAAAGATTTGCAATGTTTACTGGAAAGCTGATATCTGCTTGTCATCAGTTCTGCCCTGCATTGTTTTCTGTTAAACATTTGTTTTTAATATGCAGAGCTGTATTCACTGGTCAACTTGACAACACCTGCACTTTCTATTTCTTTATCTCAGGGAGGGCACATTTTAAGATTGTCAATTCAGCGAATGAAACATAGCAAATTTTCACAACTATTCTGGTGAAAATGCAAGTATTTTCTATTTCCTTAGACACAAAAAAAGAAACGTGCACAAATGGACACTTTGAATTCTAACTCACAGACATTAACCAGCATCATCTTTCCTTGTATTCTGCAATTGGTGCTTCATCACCTGAAAAAAAATGCTGTCTCGATACTTCTGAGTGATTCTTCCTTTAGAAGAAAGGTAGTCAACTGTCACAAATAATAGTGTTCACTTTCTCACAGTTGAAGGGTCACTCCCTCGACAATCTTGTAAAAGCTTGTCAATTTCTCGAACCACTTGCTCGGCGTCAACACCTTCTCGAGCGGGGTCCCGGCTGGTGGGTTCATACTGGTCCAAGACAGTGTCCACTTCATTGAACTCCCGGCCAGCTCTGGAGTGTACATCTGCAAAGACCGTCGCCACCGCTTCAGGTGTTATGAAGTGGCTATCGCGCTGTTTGTCAGGTGATGGGTAGTGGGTATCAGTTGGTAAATATTGGGCGGTTGGTTCTGTTGATGTGTCGGCCATTTTCTGCTTCACCTCAAATGCACCCATAGGTCGTTTACTTGAGCTGTTACTGCCTGCAATTGAAGTCTTGTCTGGACTACTTGCAGCTGATGAGACCTCTTGCAAGAGAGGACTTAGAGCACGCTTTGCTTTTAAATAAGGTTTAACGTTTGCAACAAGAATGGTGTGCTCTCGTTTGTCCTTGCCAAAAGTACAGAAAGTTTTTTTCCCAGCAGGAACCGTGCTTTCTGGAGTTTCAGATTCAACTGTGGCCTCCACTGCCGGTACAAAAAGATTGCGGCGATAATCTGAACATTCAGCTTGGTTGGAGACAGGGAACTGAGGCATCCAACATTTATCTGAATGACCCAAGACACGACATTCATCTGTACAGTTGACACAGTCCTCCTTCTCTGTAGGAAAAACAAACAAAACCTATTATACTTAAGAAAACAAGTTACTTTAGTTAGCAGAACACCCATATTGAAGCATTTTAATTAGCTATTCTAGGTGGTCAAAATCTGAATTTAGGAGCATGGGGACAAGTGTCACCTCAAGCAGTCAGATCCTAAAAGCCAAAATAATTCAGATGTAAATGATTTTAAATAACAGGAGGTGACGTTTTCCTTAATAGTTTAATGTAGCCTCTACAATCAACATATAACTTTGCACGCAACATATATCTTGGCTGAGTAATGGTCAGTTTAAATGCCATGTTATGAATACAACTATATAAATGCATTAAAAGTATGCTCAAATGTGTGAATATATATGAACATAACTCCCAGAATAACATTATTTTACAATATTCTTTCTGTTGTTAAAAATGCTGAGACATTGCAAGTTCTGAAATGCACTGGAGACCACAGGCTGATTATCGTATTTTTTAGCTAAGTGTTAGTTTCGCTGAGTTTCATGACGGTGTCTCTCTGCGAGAACTAGAGAGTTTTCAGGTTGTATCTGACCAAACTCATCTCATTAACTGTCTACTCTGTCACACTGGTACACCTCTTATCTGCTTCTAACTTCATGCTGCCACTCAACTTATCCCACTGCCAGGATATCCCCAATGAACCAATGTCACTGGTGCCAGCCCCTGGACAAAACACTGCTTGCCTGGAGTTGCAGTGCACGGTACCAAATATTTGCTCCAGTCTAGGCAAAAGAAAGGGAACGTTGGTGCACTTTGGGGACAGGTACCTACAGATTCAGGTGGACAGGGTAGTACAGAGGCAGAGGCTGGTCCCCAGGAGCAGCAAAGAAGGCGAACATACTATGCAAGACTGGCCTACGGTTGTCACCCAGTCAGTGTGATCTCAGCCTGCTGGAGGAATGCACCGAAATGTAGAAAGAAAATCAATTACTCCCCTTCCTTCAACAGCGTAAGTGTCACCATCTTCTCTGATACCCGTTTCTCACGCTATCTTTGCTCCTGTATCCACCTCCCAGCAAAGCTATTGCTCTATCCCTGTCATGACTGTCTGCAACATCTTACTGATATTCACTCCAACACACCACCGCCTTCTGCCCCAGACACTACTAATCCTGCATACTCTCTGCGCTGCCTACTCACTTCGGCAGGACCCCTATCTACCTGCACCAAAAACTAACAGTGTGCCACCTATACTCATTGCCTTAATACCTGCCTCTTTCTCTCATTCCAGGACCAATATCTGACTGCTCACTCGTTATGAGGAGAGGATCCTGACTCTGATCCATGAACGGTTGAGAGACGGAGTCCAAGCCCTTGAACTGCTGGCTGCCTTTGACTTACTGTGCTTGACTTCCTGACCAAAGGCTACCTCCCTTTAGTTGAAGGTTGACAACCACGACAAGCTTCCTGGCTTTATGTCTGCGTTAAATTGCAAGGCAATGGCACTGTGAGTCAGGATCCTGGCTGAAGACTGAACTACAAAAGGCAAGGCAATGCATAAAAAGGCAAGGCAATGCAAGGCAGGGATATTGTGAGCATCCAGATAGGCTCAAAGTGAGTAAGCATTAAGAGACCATGCAAACAGCTCACAGATTCGGCCTGGTTCAGACCACAAGCTGGATGCAGGTCCGTTAGCACAAAGTGTCCTTGCTGCAACATTACATTGATAGTTGCTGGTGCTGTCTGAGGTACAGCACTGAAGAGCAGAAATGCCCTGCAAGTGCATTGGAGATGTGCTTTGAAGTTTCTTAGAGAGTGGCACATGTCAGATGCAAATGCCGGTGCCCATGGAGTTGTACCCTGATCATGCCTGGTGTTCAGAAAGGAGGGCCCTTGAAACGAGTGAGGTGCTGATGTCACCAGATACCTACTTTAACTTCCATGTTGAGAATTCTGGGTGTCCAGTTTGCTCATGGCAGGTATAATGATGAAGTGAGATGTGAGGTTAATAAGGAGGTGAACAAGGAAGTGAACAAGCAATTATCCCCCTGCCTAATGAGAATCTTGCCTCAATGCCTGGGATTTAGTTCAAAGATACAGCGAGTTGTTCCCGATGCCAAATCAGACCTCGCTGGTTTCTTGTGTGATTCTGTCACATTTCTCACAATAACCCACTTGGTGCAGCCCATACAACCATGTTTTCATTTCACTTACTCATATTAGAAAAAAATAGTACTTTGGTTGCAACCTTACTACGAAGAAGTTGTTGCTTAAAATCTTCCCTACACTTTGCCTAGCTGAATAATAACAGCTAGATTTTATCATCATTATTATAAATATATAACTTTTTTTTTCAAATTGTAAAAGAACATGCAAGGAGATTTTTAGAGAAATAAAAGGAAAACTGGCATTCATACAGTGTTTTTCACATCCACCAGATATCTGAGGACACACTTACATTATGGGGAAGGAAATTCAGCAGCTAATTAGTGGACAGGAATCTACGAACAGCTATGTGGCAATGACCAGATAATGCTTTATGTGATTTTGGCTGAAGAATAATACACATTGGCCGGGACAACAACTTTTCTCTGGAACAAAAACAAAGTTGCTGGAAAAGCTCAGCAGGTCTAAGCAGCATCCGTGAAGGAAAAAACAAGAGTTAACGTTTCAGGTCTGGTGACCCTTCCTCAGAACTGTGAACGTTAACTCTTTTTTTTCTTAACAGATGCTGCCAGACCTGCTGAGCTTTTCCAGCAACTTTGTTTTTGTTCTTGATTTACAGCATCCGCAGTTCTTTCGGTTTTTACTTTTCTCTGGAATACGGGTCCTTTAAATTCACCTAAGAAGGGTGTTGGCGCCTCAGTGTCCAAAAGACAGCACCTCTCACTCAGCACTCCTTCAGGACTTACCCTAAAGTGTCAGCCTTAATTTTGGGCTCAAACCCTGCAATGAGAATTGAATCCAAAAACTATTTTATCACTTTATTTTTAATGGGATGACCAACATTTGTTGTCCATCCCTAAGTGTGCTTGAAATGAATGCCTTATCATATAATTTCAGAAGGCAGTTGCTAGTCAATCACATTGCTGTTGGTGTGGAGTCACATGTAGGTCAGAACATGTAAGGACAGCAGATTTCCTTTAATAAAGGACATTTGTGAACTCGATGTGTTTTTACACAGTCACAATTAATACTTTATACTCAATATTTATTTACTGAATTGAAATTTCACCAGCTGGTGAGGTGGAATTTGAATACTTGTTCAAAATGCTCTAAACCAAAATTGAATTTTCATAAGAATTCATTTTCAATTATTTAACACATGACATTACACTGGGAAATTGTGAAGTGTTTTGCAGCCAATTGAAGACTTTTTGAATTTTAGTTACTATAGCAGAGAATCATAGCAACCATTTTCACATATGAAGGTTCACAAACAGTAAGCGAATAAAAGGAGCAGATGATCCGTTTTACTATATATTAAATATCCAGAGGAGAAATCTTTCGCAGGTTGCTAAGTGTAACATTCATATCTCCACTATCTTTGGCAAAGTGCATTCTTTCCTTTGTTTAGTGGAAGTTTTGACATTGTCTATGTTGCTGTTGAAATGAATTGGGGAATACTGCTCTTCAGGATTATTTAGAACCACTGAGAAGGGCTGGTGGCTGTGTTGGCAGCTCAAACACAGACACAGATGCCACCATATTTGTGGCCCTGAGTGGGCTGAATTGAACATTGGAGATCTTGCTGAACAACTCCCTCAAACTACCAATGTTCCTCCCACTGCCATCACCTGCACGGAGTAGAAAATAAGCTGGACTGGAAACTACGATGGGTCAACTCCACTCTGGCAGCCATCTCAGACTTGCAGAACAGTGTTATTAAATCAGGATTGAAAACAAAAAACAGTGTAAAAGACAAAACAGGTCTCGCAGCATCTGTTGAGAGAGAAGCAGAGTTCACCTTACAAGCTGAACAACTCTTCTTCAGAACTGAATTGGCAAATTTAGCAAGTACTCAATTAGTGCAACAGCTTTCATGTATATCATGCCTTTGATAAAGCAAAACATTTCAAAAGCACTTTCCAAGCAGACTACTGTTCAAAATTTTACAGAGCAAGCGGAGATATTAAGTTCAATGATTAAAGGTTTGCTACAAGAGGTGGATCATCAGGAACATCTCAAAGGACCAAAATGTGCATCAACTGTGAACAAATTTATGACTCAGTGTTATCCACTCTCATACAAACATCTGAAACAGTGGCTGGAGTAGACCATTCTGTCCCTCTGCTCCCATTCTGCTCCCTCAATCAATAAGATCATGGCTGATTTGACTGTAACTTCAAATCCATATATTTGCCTTTCCCTAATCACCTTTCAAGTTCTTGTCTCGATCTATCTCTACCTGAAAAATATTCAAGAACTCTACATCCATCACCTTTTCAGGGCAAAATTTTCAAAGACTCACAAGACTCTGATAGAAGGAATTTTTCTTAACCTCTGCTTTAAATGGGTGAGCGCAGATTTTTAAACTGTGAACTCTAGTTCTAGGTTCACCCATCAGAAGAAACCTCCTCTCTACATCTACCGTGTCAAGACCAATGTTTCCTCTATGCTACATGGCTGTGCTTTGTGAGTTAGTGCTTGCCAAATTGGTGTACTGAGAAAGTCACTTCCAGTTTCTCAGTTGCTACTGTGCAAGGACCTCAGAGAAATTGGAGGGAAATGTTGGTTATGACTCTCAGAGGTTTTATTTATGTTTCAATCAAATCACCATGACTCTTCCAGCCTCTAGCATATACAAGCCTAGCTTGTCCAGCCTTTCCTCATATAACAACTCTCCCCATTGCAGGTACTAGTCTTGCACATTGGTGAGTCCAAATGCAGACCGGATGACTGCTTTGTGGAACATCTTTGCTCCGTCTGTAAAAATGATCATTGCCTTCTGGGTGTTTCCCATTTTCATACTTCATCTTGCTCTCATGCTGACATTCCCGTTCTAGGCTTGCTGCATTGTTCCAGTGAATCCCAATGCAA